TTTTTAGTAGAGACGGGGTTTCACCATGTTGATCAGGATGATCTCGATCTCTTGACCTCGTGATCCACCCGCCTCGGCCTCCCAAAGTGCTGGGATTACAGGCTTGAGCCACCGCGCCCGGCCTAAAATGGTGAATTTTATGTTATGTATATTTTACCACAATTAAAAGAAAAACAATGAGGAAGCTCTACATATTGACAGGGAAGATCTCTAAAATACATTGTAAAGTGAATAGCAAATTGCAGGACAATATATATACCATTTGTACATAAACATTTGAGTTAAAGCAAATGTGTTTGTTAGCTTTTATAGCCATAAAATAACTGCAAGGTTATACAGGCACTGTTTGTAGTAGGAACACTGGTTGTTTCTTGGAAGGGAATCTAAATGGGTGGCAGCCAAGGTAGGAAGGAAACATTTCACTGCAGATTATTTAATACTTTGCCAATTTTAAATGCTGTGAATTTTGACTCCCCATATTTGCAATGGAGTCCTTAGCCCAGGATCCAGTGACATCCAGACCATAAGCTACCCAGGGTACTCCCCCCCTAGAAATGCCACTTACCAGCCAGGAGCAACGTGTGGGTGTTCTTGTTATCCGGCACTTTGTCTGACCTCTCACAAGGGTGCATTCCCAAGAACTTCACAATGTTACCCACAGCCTCTATAGAGAGAAATTCCAATATTGTTAAGCCATATATCTTGTCTGCCCTTTGTGCCACCACCACTCCCCCATGTTCTGAAGGGCTTTGAATGAAGTGGCATTTGACATATGTGCTCCAGACATGGCCCTGGATCCTTGGTGAGAAGAGGGATAAGCACCTCAATAGTAGCAAAAGATCTTGAACAGCAAGTAGGCCAGAGATGGCATTCCCAGGATTTTACCTTCAAGTGTCTTGATGGTAGATAAGGTGAACGTTTCTTCCTTCTCAAATTCATCCCCTACCTCATCCCAGGCTGCTTCGAAGTTCAGTTTCATGACCTTTTGAATGTGATCAGCTACGGTAACTTCTAGATCTTCCAGCTGGAGAGATGGAGGTAGAAATAAGGCACCCATCCACACACCTCTGGGCCTCTGAACTCATCAACACATCCCTTCCTGCAACTCTTACTGCAGGTGCTTGCTCAGCGCTGAGGACTGCTAGACTCTGGGGACGCAGAGCAACTTGACTAGATACCTATCCTTGAGGTGCCCACAGGCAAGTGGTATGCCTTCAACAGAAAACACCCTAATCCCAAGTACCAATCTACTAACTCATCCTAGAGCTGCCTGCTGTGAGATCACATCTCTTCTAAGCCTGCCTAGTGTCAGTGCTTCCAGGACCTGCATTCAGGGAACTACATAGCATTCTCAGAGGTCTGCTTCCTATGCCTGTCACTCCTAGGGGCCAATGAGCTCCTAAGGAGCAGCAGCTGTTTCTAGTTCAGCAGAAACCTCCTACCCCAGCTGTGTCCTCTGGATGTGACAGATCCCAAATCTCTATCTCCACTTCATCTGTGTCCTCCCTGAATTTGACACACAATACTCCCACTGAGCCTACATGAAGGTTCCCCATTCATTCTCCCATCAGATTTTCAGAGGCCCTACTCTTGTGGATATTTACAGTGTATACAAATATGACAGATCCAGCTCACTCTTTTTTTTTTTTTTGCTTGCATCTCTGAGTGGGTTCTAACAGACCCAGCTCTCTTAAGGAGCTCACTTGGTCTTAGAGCAGCTCCTGCCTCGGGGTCATTTCTGGCTCAAGGAAGGTCCATCCATCCTCAACTGTGACTCTAGGATGACACAATGGTGAATGTCAGTTGGATTCCACAGTAGCTGTCCCTCTAGTCAGGAGGAGCTCCAACAATCCCCAGCCATAGGCTGAACACAATGGTCTACACTGAGATGGCCCTGAGCCACTGCCCCAAGGTCAGACCCCAGAAGGATCCTGTACTTAGTTCCAGTGAGCTAAGATAGGAGAATTTAGAACGGTTATTCCAGTGCATGAACAGACTGCCCAGCACAGCAAACAGGTCCAATTTATCCAGAAAGCGTTTGACAAAAGGAATCAAAATGTCTTAAATTTTGACATTAGCCCTTTGACCAAATTATTCTCCTAGGAATCTATCCTAAGGAAATAAGCTGAAATGCAGATAAAAATTGGTACCTAAAGGGATATTTAATGAAGCATTATAAATAGTAAAAACATGGAAACCCAAATGCCCAACATTAAAGGAGTGAAAGACAGGTCAATTGAGTTTTAATACAGTATATAACAGTATTTTAAACCCACTAAAAATTGTGTTTATGAAGTATTTGTAACAACACTGGAAAATATAGTATAGTTTTAAAATAGCAAGAATGATTTCAATTATACCACTGCCCCCCAAAAATAACTCTAAGGATTGTGGGTAATGTTTTCCTGTTGTTCATACTTTGTTTTATATTTTGTTTTTGTATTTCCCAAGTTTTCTTTTTACACATGAACACGTATTTCCATTAGTTAAAAAAATTGTTTTAGGCCAGGTGCGGTGGCTCATGCCTATAATCCCAGCACTTTGGGAGGCTGAGGTGTGTGGATCACCTGAGGTGAAGAGTTCGAGACCAACCTAGCCAACATAGTGAAACCCGGTCTAAACTAAAAATACAAGAAATTAGGCAGGTGTGGTGGCGGGCACCTGTGATCCCAGCTACTCAGGAGGTTAAGGCAAGAGAATAACTTGAACCCAGGAGGCAGAGGTTGCAGTGAGCCGAGATCGTGCCATTGCACTCCAGCCTGGGTAA